GCTTCTGGAAATGTCCACTATTATTTGTAGTCTGACCAGCAAAGATGTATCAGTCTTGCACAGCAGAAACAGACTTATTGCTGTTGCAAGACTAAAATTTTGCATGTAGCTAAATATAAGGAATCAGAGCCAATTAGAAATCCAAGAAAAAGCCCCAGCAAGCACTGCACTCCCAAGACACTAAAACGTTAAATGTCTTTATTGTCAAATCAGTCTATGACATAAAAGAAAACCCAACACAACCACTGACATTCAACATATACTAGGATTAGATTGGCTACAAATCATTTTAATAATTAAAACATATGACAATTAAATATGATTTAATTGATTCTCCTGTTACTAAACATGAGTTTGATGAAGATTTTGTGACAATATTGCATTTACTAATTGTTGGAAGTTGGAACTGAGTGACGAGGCTGTTGCAGTTTCACCAGCAGATATCACTAGTGAGTGGTGAATGAAGCATCGACTAATAAATAGACCTTTTTTCAAGCCTCCCGGGTTTGAAAGCGGATGTGGCGTTGGACAACTTCCGGTGGTAATAGCATTAGCATTAAAAGGCCAGGAAAATGGCTCAGTCTCGGCACAGTTGTTTTTGTTCAGTCTCTGGTTGTTCATGTCGGGCAAGAAAACTGTCTTATCTGTCATATCATGCGTTCCCGACGGACCAGGACCAACGGAGGCAGTGGATCCAGGCGATCCGAAGAGATGAAGGTCCGGACTTTTGCACAAAGACGGGGAACACTTTCGTATGTAGCCGCCACTTCACACCGGAGGATTTTGTTAGCGGATCCACCACCAGCCGCCTTAAAAGTGGAGCTGTTCCTTCCCTGTTTGGCTGGAATCACTTCACTGCACCGACAATGAGAGAGTCTGCTTTCGAGAAGGCTAAGAAACGGCAGCTTGTCCTCTCTCAGAAAGCTAGCCAGGCTGAAGATGCTACTGCGGACTATGACTACACAGCACATCCACCCGCAGGGGCCGGTGCGGTTGTGCGCATGCGCGGGGCCCGGGAGGTTGTGCGCATGCGCGGGGCCCGGGAGGTTGTGCGCATGCGCTGGGGCCGGGAGGTTGTGCGCATGCGCTGGGGCCGGGAGGTTGTGCGCATGCCTTTGTGTTTTGTGTTTATGATGTAAAGCACCATGTGCGCATGCGCGGGGCTGGGGCGGATGTGCGCATGCGCCGAGCCAAGGCGGATGTGCGCATGCGCGGGGCCGGGCCGGTTGTGCGCATGCGCGGGGCCGGGCCGGATGTGCGCATGCGCCGGGCCGGATGTGCGCATGCACTGGTCTGGGGCGGATGTGCGCATGCGCGGGTCCGGGGCGGATGTGCGCATGCGCGGGTCCGGGGCGGATGTGCGCATGCGCGGGTCCGGGGCGGATGTGCGCATGCGCGGGTCCGGGGCGGATGTGCGCATGCGCGGGTCCGGGGCGGATGTGGGGTTGGATAACTTCCGGTGGATATAGCGTTAGCATTTAAAGGCTAGGAAAATGGCTCAGTCTCGGCGCAGTTGTTTTTGTTCAGTCCCTGGTTGTTCATGTGGGGCAAGAAAACAGCCTTATCTGTCATATCATGCGTTCCCGATGGATCCGGACCAACGGGCGATCCGAAGAGATGAAGGTCCGGACTTTTGCATAAAGACGGGGAGCACTTTCGTATGTAGCCGCTACTTCACACCGGAGGATTTTGTTAGCGGATCCACCATCAGCCGCCTTAAAAGTGGAGCTGTTCCTTCCCTGTTTGCCTGGAATAACTTCACTGCACCGGCAATGAGAGAGTCTGCTTTCGAGAGGGCTAAGAAACGGCAGTTTGTCCTCTATCAGAAAGCTAGCCAGGCTGAAGATGCTACTGCGGACCATGACTACACGGCACATCCACCCGCAGGTAAAAGATAGTATATTGTATATATTTTCCATGTAAGATAATTTCAGTAAAATATAAATGTTGCTATATTATTATTATTATTATCACATAATAATGAAATTATGAGGTTATGTATATTGTGGAAAGATTATGTCAATGGCTGTATACATACATGCTCCGACTCACAACATGTATTGCAGTGGCGAAGCTAGACTTTTTTTCAAGGGGTGGCCAAAGGGTGAGCAAGGCTTTATCAGAGGGGTCCATATACAAATGATGAACGAAAGGAAACAAATACTTTCTCACACACACTCAAATTAAAATGGTTTATTTAACAAAGATTTGCCAAGACCAAACAAGACGTTAAACGGCACTATGGAACAGTGAACATGTAAATGTAAACTCAGAGCCCAGAATATGACCAAAAACAAATTCTCAAAAATAAATAAATAAATAAACTGGTGCTTCTGGTGTGCAATAGGTTGTGCTGGGTGGGGGCAGTTCAGTGCCATTTCCTCCTGCTTCACTGTCTTCCTCCCCAGAGTCTGACTCTGAATCTGTATCACCCTCATCTCTCTCTGGAACTTAATTGGAAATGCATAAACACACACAATAAAAAATGCAAAAAGCATCATGCTAACCTTTAGAATTAGGTTTATTGGATTTTAATACTTAATAACTTTCTGTCACAGCCTCTAACTCGCTGGTGATCCACTTGGGCCTGGAGTCTCCTGGCTGGATTCTCCAGGTTGGTCACTGCTGCAGGGTTCTGTCTGGTCCTGGTCACTGCTGCAGGGTTCTGTCTGGTCCTGGTCACTGCTGCAGGGTTCTGTCTGGTCCTGGTCACTGCTGCAGGGTTCTGTCTGGTCCTGGTCACTGCTGCAGGGTTCTGTCTGGTCCTGGTCACTGCTGCAGGGTTCTGTCTGGTCCTGGTCACTGCTGCAGGGTTCTGTCTGGTCCTGGTCTGGCCCTGGTTTTTGCCTCTTTAAGAAGAACTGGGAGATATTCCCTTTTCTCTTCATTTGGGCTCTACACAAAATAAGACAGCCTGGTATTTACACTCCATCACTGTTTGGCAGACACAACACTACTTTAACTATTATTTGAACTATAGTTTTTAGTTTTCTGTAGCTAGCTAAAATACTAAATTAAAAATGCATTAATTAAAATTAATTAATATAACTAGTTAGGTTATAATTCAAAGCTTTCATATGACATAGCCGACTTACATTTCAGTCATAATAAAACTTAATGGTTTTTCTCATATTCTTACCACACATTTCAAGCAAGAGCTGGGAGATATAAAACATTACAGGGCAGCATGTCACTAAAACATATGTTAAAAGAATCTGTTTAAAACACGATCTATCAGCACTAGCATGGCTAATATAATAAACGAGGCACTACGCAGCGGTGCACAACCATTTATTTATTTTTTTAGAAATGTATGACAAGTGCCGCCTCTCATTAGGAAGGTAACAGCGGTTACCGCTGAGCGGTAAAATGTAAATACCTGCAAAACTCCTGACGGTGTTACTCTAAATGTGTTTTGGATCAAGCAGGACCCACATGTCAGTTTAACCAATGAACAGCGTCGGGCATCGGGCTGCCTTCAGGGACAGTCGGAAATTACAGTTTTCCTGGCAAATCTTTGCCGATCTCATAAATATTATATTTTAAAATGACCATTACCAGTGGGGTGGCACTAGGGGTTGCCAGGGGTCTGTTGGGGGTGGCAAGTGCCACCCCGGCCACCCCTCTTGCTCCGCCACTGATGTATTGATCTTCACAGAAGTAATGTTTTAAATATATAATTAAAACTTATTGCTAACTGTATGTTTTGCTATTTTATTTTGTGGTTTTACAGGTTCACTTAATGAAGCTCTGGATTATATTAAGGAGTTGGAGGCCAGACTTCAAAAAGTGGATTTCCATCTGAATGTGTGTTCCGGATCTTCTGGGAGTCCATTGCACCCTCTGCATCACGCCTGGTGTACTGGACCAGAGCACAGAAACTTGGAGAGGAAGCATGTGCTGAAGCCAGCCCTGCCTGCTGCATGCCTCTGATTGATGAGTTCCTGATGTACTCATTCAGGGGGCATGAAGGAGCAGCTCATTGCTGACATGTTTCAAGTCAGCATAGCTACTGTCAGCCGAGTGACCATCACCTGGGCCAACTACCTCTTCATTGTGTTCTCTTCCATCAACCTGTGGATTAGTCGTGAGAAGGTAAAAGCCAGTATGCCTCAGAAATTTCTGAAGTTCTCTCCAAATGTCCGTGTCATCTTGAACTGCACAGAAGTTGCTCTGGAAATGCCATCATGCCTCACCTTACAGTCTGAAACGTTCTCTGCCTACAAGAATCACACCACTCTGAAAGGGCTGATTGGAGTTGCTCCCTGTGGGTTGGTGACATTTATTTCAGCGTTGTACACAGGCTGCATCTCCGACAAAGAAATAACGAAGGTCAGTGGAATCCTTCCTCTGCTTGAGCTGGGAGATGAAGTCATGGCAGATAAAGACTTCCTCATTCAACACCTCCTTCATGAAGATGGAGCCAAACTCATCATTCCACCATTTAGGCATCCTGGTCAGTTCAGCAAGGAAGAGACAGAGGAGACCCAGACCATCGCTTGGCTGCGGATCATTGTAGAGCGAGCAACCGCTAGAGTAAAGTGCTGCCACATCTGGGATTCCCCGGTGCCTTTCACTTTAATAGGAACTGTCAATCAAATCTGACACAACTGTTGTGTTTTGGCAAATTATCAAGGCCCATTTTGTGTTGCAGACTAAATTATTTCTGTATGTTGTTTATTGCTGTGTAAAAAGTTAAATGTCTAGATATTCAATATTCAATTAAAACACTTTGGCAGCACACTTGACTTTCTTTTTGTATTAAGTTGAATTGCAAGGAAAAGAAATCAAGTACAATTTACAATATCTAGTAAAAACAAAAAAAATCCATAACTAATATTTTATAATTGTACACCATACATTGATTTAAAAAAATACATTTCCAAGAATCGACATTTTTACCTGCCTGTAGGCGGCGGTATTGTGAGGAAACGGCCGACCTTCCGTCCCTTTAAATAAGAGAAGAGCCGTTTCCATGACAACGCACCCCTAACGGACGACGTAGCTTCCTGTTTGGCTCCGTCGGGTGGCGGGAGATCGCAGCATGGCGGTGCAACCGAAGCAGAACCAGAACCCGTCCCTGGACGGCGCGGCCGAACACGGCTTTCTGAACTTCATCTTCTCCATGCCGGAGAAACCAGACACAACCTTCAGGATGTTTGACCGGAACGACTACTACACCGTCCACGGGAAAGACGCCATATTTGCTGCCAAGGAGGTTTTTAAGACCAACGGAGTTATCAAATATCTGGGCTCAGGTAACTGGGTTTAACTGCCGGGTTTTCTGTGCACCTTCTCAATGGAAATATTTTAAAGTCATTTATTAGCTTATTAATTTTGATTTGTCTTGATGCATCGAGATCTAGCTGCAGGCTGCTAATACATTAGCAGCATCTATGTTAAGGTTAGCTTGAATTACACTCGCTCTTACATAGTTTGTAGGTATTGAATGTAAGGTGATTTGCTGTTTTCAGAACTTATTAGTTATCAGGCACTAATTTTAGAAGTTTGCCTACATAAATCAGAAAACACTGAAAAGCTATTTTAGAAAGTTACAAATACATAAATTGATTAAACCCATACAAGTTTTTTTGTTCATTTTGATTACTACATCTAATGAAAACCTAAAATTAAGTTTGTCATCTGTAAAACCACAAAGATTTAGTTAGCGGTTCACAGATGCCTATATCCAAGTATAACAATGTAATGTTTAGTGGAAGGAAAAAGTGTGGGAAAACAGTACAAGTAACTGGGAGCTTTTTTTTCATGGTTCCTTATCTGTCAACTGTACAAATATCTGCAAATTACAAATTTTATGGTGAACTACAGTATCTTACCTGCATTATATTTTAATACTTTAACCTGAGATTTGGAAAGGTGAATCTGAAAAATAAACTGCACAAATCATAAACTGGAGGAACCATGTATTTATTTTGTTTAAAAAAATGCATCTTTGAGGTTGTTTGGGGTCTGATAAATGTTTGCTTGTGGGTCAACAGGGAGCCGTAAGCTGGAGAGCGTGATCCTGAGCAAGATGAACTTCGAGGCCTTTGTGAAGGATCTGCTGCTGGTGAAGCAGTACCGAGTGGAGGTGTACAGGAACCACAGCAAGAGCAGCAAGGAGCACGACTGGAGGATCGAGTACAAGGTGCCAAAAATTACTAATAAGACTGTCAAAATGAGCTTTTTCAGAATAACTTTTTGAAGGGAGAGAAGTTCCAACATATAAAGAACATGAATTAACCTTAAAAAATTGTCAAACAAGTACTTATCATTATATTCTCCACTAGACTTATTAAATATCACTGTATTTGAAAATATAATTAAATGCAGTAACTGTGTGAAGTTGGGGATATAAATTACATTCCTGCTGTACTAAAGTGATACGTTTCAAAGGGGAATGTTTTGTTTTAATACCATATCGCATACCCCGACATTGAAATTGTATTGTGACCTAATAACACAATAAACTTGTGTTATTAGGTCACAGTAACAGTCAGTAATAGAAATACTGTAAGAGTATTAAAGTGTTAAGTGTCAGTAATAGAAAAAAAATCACATTTTTAAAGCTTTTTTAAAGATTGATGATCTGACAGAAAACTGCAACTGATGTACCGCAGGATAAAAAATAGTTAAAGTTTAGAAGATTATTGGTGAAACTGAACGAAACCTAAAAAAAATCCCTTTTAAAATAAGTATAAATATCCCGTTTTTAGGGCTTTTTCTACATCTTTTCCAGGGGTGGTGATAAATGTGATCACTGTATTTATTTTGAAACTACAAAAAAAGAACAAAATGAAACAGACTTAACAAATCACAATGAATAGACCAGTTGTCCAGTTGGGTTTATTGTTCATGTGCCTTGGTCCTTAACTCAGGCCTCTCCAGGAAACCTGACCCAGTTCGAGGACATTCTGTTTGGCGGAGGAACCGGAGGCGAGGGATGCGCGGGAGTGGTCGCCGTGCGGTTTGCGACGGGAGCCGACGGACAGCGAGTGGTTGGGGTCGGCTATGTGGACGCAGCCCAGAGGACCATGGGGGTGTGTGAGTTTCCGGACAACGAGATCTTCTCCAACCTAGAGTCTCTACTCGTCCAGATCAGCCCCAAAGAGTGTCTCCTGGCTCAGGGAGAATGCAGCGCTGAGGGGAACAAGCTCCGGGAGGTTAGTTCCCTCATTCAAGTTCAGTGTTTTAGTGAAGTAAGTTTAGGTTCAGTCTTGGGTTTTTATTGAAACTCTGACTCAGATTCGCCTTCTGTTGTTTACTATCGTTCACACACATATAACCTGTTTTATTTATCTTCAAACTGAACACGGGTGAACATTCCCTACTGATATAAATAACTCTTGATTTTGTTTATGGTTCGATTTTTGAGTGAGGTCACTGATTAGTTTTGCTGCGTTTGTGCAGGTGGTGCAACGTGGCGGCGTTCTGGTCTCCGACAGGAAGAGAGCAGAGTTCAGCAGCAAGGACATCGTCCAGGATCTCAACAGGCTACTGCGATCTAAGAAAGGAGAGACAGTGGCGAGCAACACGCTGCCTGAACTGGACCAGCAGGTGACAAAAGAAAAAGGTTTAACTGTTTTTATTGCATCCGTTATCAAAGACAGTTTCGTTCTGGTTTCCTAAGAGCCACAGTGACAGTAAACTACCTGTCATGGTTTTAAACTGTATGAGGAAGCTGGAGAGAACCCATACATGCACAGGGCAAACATTGTGCCAGGAGTCTTTCTTCCAAGCAGAAAGACCCCAGGCTGGGATTTGAACCCAGAGCCTTCTTGCTGCAAGGCTCCCAACTGTGCCACTGTGGACCCAGTGTGAAGGAACCTTGTTATTCAAACTCCAGGCACATGTTAAGTTCATCTGGGAGTACAAACACAGTTGCAGTATTTCCATCACTGAAACCATGAAAACGACATTATATTTCTGGCATTATGTGAGATCTTGTTGATTCCTTGCTGCTCGTGAAAGAAACTGTGTCCCCTCCAGACATCAGACTGCTGTCTCCATCTCACCGTTGTTCTGTTTGGAGAATTTTTTTCAATATTTTTGTCACAGTTGTTTGTATTCATCGTAGGGTTGGTAATTTTTGGGCAAACGCAGACTCGTAAAAAACTGTGCAGCAACTCCAGTCAGTTTGTCCCGGTTCTGTAATGGTTCTGAAAAAGAGCTTCTGTCTCTTTAGCACTTTTTCTGATATGCCACTAAATTAGGTTCCTTCTCACCAAACTCCTGATAAGAGACAGAAAGAACAGAACTGTTCCTGTTTGCACTGGTGACTCTCACATCAATTCAGGGGTTTTTTCAATCAAACTGACTCGGATGTTTTTGAACCTGGATGATCTCTGACAATTAATCTGGGTAAGAGATTTTCCAAAAATATCTGTAGGAAGTTTTGTCTAAACAAAGCGATACAGATAAAACTTGCATGCACTTCCAGCTGCAATGGTGCTTAACATGACTATTAATTATTCCCTGAGGGGGGCTGCTGATGAGCATAAAATTATGAGGAAATTAATTTCTGGTACTTTATATAAATGTAAGAGACTCATTTCCTTTCAGTCATAAACTATGTGATGAATTTAGTAAATGTCTTTCTCAGGTGGCCATGTCATGTTTGGCTGCTGTGGTTCGATTCCTCGAGCTTCTCTCCGATGAGTCCAACTTCAACTCTTTTAGCCTCACAACGCTGGGACTGGGGCAGTACATGAGGCTGGACAACGCCGCTGTCAGGGCTCTCAACCTCTTCCAGGTCAGTGACCCTGAGAGAGTTTGAAAGATTTGATTGATTTACCCTAATAACATACTTACAGCTGGGAAACTTTTGAGCTTTTCTGTGGAAATGGAAAAGACTTGACATGTTTTTTTAACTTCTGGAGCCAATGAAGTGATTCATTATACAGAATGTTTCTGAGAAACTCGGAATGGTGAGTACTTTACCTTGTGGCTCTGGTTCCTTTAGAAGTTTTGCAAGACTTATTCCTAAAATTTTGATTCATATGTTAATGAAGCTGCAGAACTGGAGCAGCTTCAGCAGCATTATCAAAGCAACATTATCAAAGATTCTTCCTGCCAGCAATTGTCAGACTTAATACCATCGCTCTGCCCAATAAACTTAATAAGTGTTTACATCCCTGTTGTTTGCAGGGTTTTTCTCAACCTACTGTTCTCCGCACTGTTTTGTTTCACTTTTTGTAAATTATGTCTTATTTTTCAGGGCAAGCGACTCAAACCAACAAATAAAACTTTAAACTGACTCAATAAAACAAAAATAGAACATTTTCAGACAGTGTTGACATTTAAGTTTCTCAATTTTATATGGGTTAAGCTGGTAGACGAGATGGATTCTTCTTCATAAACATTTCTTTGAATTTTGAGACAGTAATCTTCAGAAATGAGCAGTCAGAGCAGCCAATTAAAAAAAACACCTTCACCCCGGAGAAATGATCAGAGACACAATCACAGAATCATCATAAAATTTTACGTGTCCTCATTTCTAGTCTGGTATTCAGTAGCGTATAAAATGAACTCAAGGAAAAGACAGAGCCTTGAGGGTTTCCTGAGCAGATGAAAGTACATCTTTTATAACATAATTTTTCCTGTTAGAAAATCAATTATGCCAGCAAACTAAATCCCAGTCAATGTGGTGGTGACCATATTAAAAAAATAAGGAAGAACAAGTAAATGACAGGTTTTTCCCCATCTTAACAACCCAAAACCAGATGTTACTGGGTGCTGACGGCTCTGAATGAGTTGCTTTGAGTTGCTCTCATGATCTCAGCTTTTATAATCTCAAAAGATTTCAGAATGAGTGAAGCGAGAGCAATACATGTATGATTACTGAATCTCTGTGAACTTGGAGAGAGTTTGTGAAGGTAAAATAATAAAACTCTTCAGGCTTTTTTTATTTTTCAATATTGTGGAGACACTTGAATCAGCAGAAACGTGCAATTTGATGGGTACAGTTGAGTTTTCATTACGTCAGATTCAGTGAATCATATTTTACATTTTGATTCTTCTCCCTCCAGGGTTCGCCCGATGACACCAATGGAGCTCATTCATTGGCCGGTTTGTTGAACAAGTGCCGCACTCCGCAGGGTCAGCGGCTGGTCAACCAGTGGATCAAACAGCCACTTATGGACAAAACCAAAATAGAGGAAAGGTATAAAAAGCAAACAAACCTTTCAAATCTTCATCTAACATCAATCATTAATGTTTGACTTTTGAATTTTGCTATTTTTTGTGATTGACCAACGCTTTAGTTATCAACAAAGTTGCAAATATTTTAAGCTTTATTTTGCTATGAGATCACCATAACAAGTCACATTTAAAGTCAGTCTTTTCATAGAATTAAGCTTCATTTTTGCCATTTGTGTAAATAGACTGGACCTTGTGGAGAGTTTTGTGTGCGACTCAGAGCTGAGGCAGACTTGTCAGGAGGATCTGCTGCGACGCTTTCCAGATCTCCACCGCCTGGCCAAAAAGTTTCACCGTCACACGGCGACGCTGCAGGACTGTTACCGCGTCTACCAGGCCGTGAGTCACATCCCCGCTCTCCTCACGGCTCTGGAGAGCTACTCAGGTAGGCACCGGATCCTGGACCGCCCAGGACCATCAAGCGCAGAGTTTGACCTCCAAACTCGTTGCTTGCAGGCAGCTACCAGGTGTTGCTTCACGCGGTGTTCACCTCGCCTCTCACTGACCTGCAGACGGATTTCATCAAGTACCAGGAGATGATTGAAACCACCCTGGACATGAATCAGGTCGGGTTCATTGTGAACGTCAAACATGTTCTGTGTTATATTTTCATCTTCACATTTATTTTCTTCCCTACGTTTTGTACCATACATGTAGATCGAACACCACGAGTTCCTGGTGAAGGCGTCGTTCGATCCCGTTCTGAGTGAGCTCAGGGAGAAGATGGACGCCCTGGAGAAAAGCATGCAGGCTGTGCTGAGCAGTGCAGCCAGAGAACTTGGTGACAACATAAATTATTATATCCAGAGGCTGTGTTTTTAAACAGTGTTGGTTGTTTGAAGAGACTCTTTTATGTTTGCTGTGACAAAAAGCCTCTGCAAATCTTCCTCTGACCACAATCATCATTTACTGTCGTCTATTAAAGGTATAAAATTGGCTTCCAACTTCCTCAGTGAGAGATTTGGATGAAAAGTCTTAGTGGATTAATTAGTGGAAGAATTTAAAAATCAAACAAGAAAGAAATTATTCAAATGCAACAGTGAAACCCTTCATGTTTCCTGTCTAATTTGAAACAGTAGTGTGAAAAACTTACTACACCCCACAATTTAACAGTTTTGTGAACCAGACTGAGTTCAGGTTGAGTTATTTGTGTGACCTCCTCCTGGGTTTCTACACCGTCTGGAAGATGTCTGTCTGTTTCAGTCCGTCTGTCCAACCATCCCTGAATCCATTCACATCCGTTCCTTCATTTTTTTCACTCGGTCGTCACTGAAGTTATTTTTATCCCTTCATCATCTGTCCATCCATCTTTGGATGGACAGATCCAAAGATGGATCAGGTCGTATCCTTTACGACCTGAAAAGCCATTTTGCTCTCAGGCCAGCCAAATAATTTAGAGCCGTAAATGCCACAACATCTTTTGAAAAGAGACAACTTATAGTTTTAGATAAATATCTACTTTGTTGTCATTTTTGAAGAACATTTTTTGTAATTTTTCCATGAGATGGAAGATGATGTAAAAAATAAAAAACACATAGATTCCAACCTAATGACAAGAAAAACAGATCTAAAAGCATATTCCTAGTACTTTTAGTGTAATCCCTTGTGGAAATGCAAAGCAAAAGATGAATAAACTGAAAAACTGTAAAAAAAAACTTTAGTTTATTATGTCAAAATTTTGAAAAAATAGCTGGTTTGTTGAAATGTTTACTCAGAGTTATAAAGAGCCATTGGAGACGGTTTAAAGAGCAGTTTCTGCAGCTGTAGGTTGCAGCCGCCTGATCTATCTCTTTTTTAGTTTGTTCTTTTTGTGTGTACAAATTCATAATAGTTATTTTTAAACTACTTTTAGTGTAAATACCTGTACTTTTCAGACAACGTTAGTTTTGTCCTGAAATTACACAAAATTAACTTACAAGTAATTTTCAGCAAAAAATATTACGGTAGCTTGTTTTAAGTCAATAATTTCTTAATATTGATAAAGAGGGGTTAGTTTCAGTGGCAGATTATTTTACTTATGACAAGACATTTTTCCCATAAGTGAAATAATCTGCCATTGGAACTATTACTTTGTCATCAATTTTAGGGAATTATTGACCTAAATCAAGCTACTATTTACTTGTAAGTTAATCTTGTATAATTTCAAGCACACCAAGATATTTGCATTAGAAACTACGGTAGACCAAAAATACCTGGTAAGATTTTTTTTGCAGTGCATCATAACTAAATTCAGAATCAGATTTAGCATTAGTTATTTTAAATTGGATATTAAGTATGGAGTTTTACGATGAAATGATATGCAAGAAGTATTTATTTCCTAAACTAATAATCTAATCTGTCATGTTGAAGGCCTGGAAGCCGGTAAGACGGTGAAGCTGGAGTCCAACGCCGTGCTGGGCTTCTATCTGAGGGTCACATGCAAGGAGGAGAAGAATCTGAGGAACAACAAGAAGTTCACCACGCTGGATGTTCAGAAGAACGGCGTTCGCTTCACAAACAGGTGCGTGTTTTCGCCGTGTCTGCACACGTCAGGGCGAGCTGACCCATAACCCCCAGCCTCGCTCCCTGACCCTTGAACTCTTTCTGTTATGTCTGTGCAGCAAGCTGAGCTCTCTGAATGAGGAGTACACCAGGAGCAGGGAGGAGTACGAGGAGGCCCAGAACGCCATCGTCAAAGAGATCATCAACATCGCCTCAGGTGTGGCCACCCATCACATGCTGCGCGTGGTGTCCTGTCAGCATGGCATTGATTTCACCAGCAGAGGAATCTCTGGTGTCTTGGCTACGTGGAAACGAATGTCTGCAAACTGCCTTCAGCGCTTTTCACTAATTGATTTCAGTCACTTTTCCTCCAAAGGTCACTGAACTCCGCACTCCTTTTAAGTCCTAATTACCATTTCTGTGGGTGAGGTTTTGGTTCGCTAGCACTTCAAAAATCAAACGGATCTAATTTTTGTGGCTGCACATGCTCCAATCCTTCATCTGTGACCGCTCGTTCAAAGTTTGTGCTGCTCATCTGCCTCCAGGTTACGTGGATCCCCTTCAGACGCTGAGTGACGTCATCGCGCAGCTCGACGCGGTGGCAAGCTTCGCCGTGGCGTCGGTGTCTGCTCCGGTTCCGTACGTCCGGCCCCGACTGCTGGACGACGGCCGCAGGCGTCTGGAGCTGCTGCAGGCCAGACATCCCTGCATGGAGACGGACGCGGACACCGCCTTCATACCCAACGACATCAGCTTCGTCCAGGGGCAGAAGAGCTTCTATATTATAACAGGTGGGAGACGCCATGCTTTGGGACATTAGTTTAAATGTTTCATGTGACTGGCCGGTTTCAGTCACAAAATGATCCTATCTGCTTAAACCTGTTATGCTAACTTCGCATTTTCAAATTCAAAAATACCTTATTGATCCTAAGGGAAAATCAAAAGTAACTCGTTTAATTAAAGAGTTATTGTAGGTGGTGATTGCTGAGGGGCAGGAAAGAGCTCCCGGAGTGGTCTATATTTATGTTTTTCATGAATTTATTCTTCCATTTGCGTCACATCTGCTTCCAAAAACAGCCTGAGCGCTTCAAAAAAAAAACACCCAGTCATTTTTTTAGCAATAGATTAAGATTTGTGGTGTCTGGAAACTGAGCCGTTTCAAGAACTTCCCAGTTACGTCACAATCCAAGGGCACTATGCTGTTACCGAGCAACCCCAACTCATCACCTAGCAACCCCAACTCATCACCTAGCAACCCACGTGGATCTCCCAGATGTTTGGTGAGAGGGGGGCGTGGCCAGCGCCAACCTCCCAGGATTTAAAGTGACAGGAGACCCTAAAATAGGCAGAACTGACCAGACTAAAAACTTATTATGTTAGAATTATTTTCGACAAAAAAAGGGCTTTGTAAAGCTATTCTAACTTGTTCAAGGAAGAATAATAACAGGTCAACTTTATTTAATGCCGGAATAATTGGAACATTTTTAATGACAATAGTTTAGATTGCAATGGCTCATAATGCCACGGCTTTATAAACTTCATTAAATCAAAACATTTGAGTTAAATGGAGGCACACATGTCAATGCATTTTAAATTAAATTCTTGTGGAACTTTATGAAAAATAGGGATATCTGATAAAGAACTACGGGCTTTTACAAGTCTGATTCACCCTTGAGGGCAGTTTCAAGATGATTGCGGGTGTCATGCTCAAAAAAACTCGCTAGCGGTTTGCTAGACGACATTTGTCTTTTCCACTGGCTCACTTCTGTTTCAAACCTGAACAAAAAAGCCACTGCAGTAAAAAATATTAAATGTTTTTGGTACACACCTGCCATGTTACAGGTCTTAAAAAGTTTTACATTTGAGTTTGACACTGGTTGGTATGGTGTTCTGCTTGCAGGACCGAACATGGGAGGGAAGTCCACGTTTATCCGCCAGGTGGGTCTGATCGCGCTGATGGCTCAGATCGGCTGCTTCGTGCCGTGCGAGAAGGCGGAGCTCAGCGTGATCGACAGCGTTCTGGCCCGAGTGGGAGCAGGAGACAGCCAGGTGAAGGGAGTGTCCACCTTCATGAGTGAGATGTTGGAAACTGCCGCCATCCTTCGGTGAGACAAACAGACCTCAGAACACGACGGGGAAAACGAGAGTCTCCTCTTAGCCTCTGTGCCGTCTCTTCCAGCTCTGCCACGGAAAACTCCCTCATCATCATCGACGAGCTCGGCAGGGGAACCTCTACGTACGACGGCTTCGGGCTGGCCTGGGCCATCAGTGAACACATCTCCTCCAAAATCAGCTGCTTCTGCCTCTTCGCCACTCACTTCCACGAGCTGACCGCCTTGGCGGCACAGCAGCCGGCTGTCCACAACCTGCACGTCACCGCCCTGACGACCCACAACACGCTCACAATGCTGTACCGAGTCAAACCAGGTCAGCCGCAGAGCCATTAGATTGGTGGATGTATAGATCTCTGTTAATAATACCCTACACGTGGTTTTTGGCAGATCTATGAAACATGGTGGCAGCAGCATCATGCTGTGGGGAGGCTTTTTCTTCAGCAGGGATAGAGGAACTGGTCAGAGTTGAAAGGAAGATGGATGGAGCTTAGTTGAGGGTAATGCTGGAACAAATTTTGTTAGAAGCAGCAAAAGACTTGAGACTGCGGTGGAGGTTCACCTTCCAGCAGGACGTCGACGCTAAAAACATTCTACATCCAATTTAACTTGAGCTTTTATTTAAAGGAGCATGAAGAAACATTTCCGCCTCCAGATCTACAAATCTGCAGGAGACGCACCAAAACTTGCCTGGGGTCGACAAAACGTGTCTTTTCATTCTAGCATTTATTCACAGTGGATTTGTTGGTTTCATCACACATTTAAAACATAAAAATCACAACAAGCTGTTCTTAATGCCAATAATCCACTTTCCTGTAACTTGTTTGTCTGCCAGAGAAGTCGTATCTTTTAGCTACGATGCTGTGGTGCATTCATGGACTGGAAAAAATTTGATTTTTATTTTTTTCTTGTCAAGCTGAAAATCGTCTGGCTCCATCCTTGAGCCAAGAAATTTTTCCATCCTAATTTTCAATACGTGAACAGATTCTCAATTTTCTGGACCTACTGAGTAGGTAGTTGATGTGAACATTAGATTTTATGGTATTTTATCAGAACTTCTTGGTACATGTTCTTAGTTTTACACGGCCGTCTGGAAAAGAAAGTTCACATGAGCGTCAATGAAATTGTGAAGAACTAAGTACACCCAATTGATTTTAGAGCCTCCTTCAGAAATGATTTCTACTTTTTTATGATTTCATTGGAGTTCCCAAATTGTTGCAGAGCAAATATTTATATCAAAATGAGGTCTGGACTTTTGCAACAAACATAACTTATCACATATATGTTAGTTTTATGGTAGGAATCTGATATATTTAAGATTTTGGATTTTAAAGAGAGAAAAAAATACAATGTGAGATAAAACATCTAAAGTCCAAAGTAAAGTGAAACAAGTTCTCCTTCCAATGTACAAAAACAAATGACCTATGAAAAAAATAATTTAAAAAAACAGTTTGAAGTGCGGCATGCAAATATCAGAGAAAAATAAACCATTCCTTTTAAGTCGTTGCGGCTTTCATATGTGGAAACACGATGCAGGTGTTGCTTTAAAACAACTGTTACCTCCTGTTTTTTTTTTCTTTTTTGATACTAACGTTATTCAGAATATTGGAAAATATCAGTTATCGACTATAAGAGCTATTTTCATATCATATCAATATCGGCTGTAATTCTCATATCTGTGCATCCCCAATGGAAACAATATTTTGTTTTTCCAGTGATTGTTCATTTCTGATCTACCTCTTAAAGCTGAACGTTTTTACATAACATGTTTGTATATGTTGCAAAGTATCAGTTAAGGTGGCAAATATTTAGTTATTGATTAATTTAGTTTTCAATTATTCTGACGATTAATCGGATTGGAACATTCTGCTGACTTTTAATTTACAATATGTACAGGATAATCTGTTTAGTTTTTGAATTAATCAGTTGTATAGAAAAATTAGCTTAAAAGAAGTTTTGAAATGTTTTTTGTAGATATTTTTTATACAATTTTGACTTAATTGCTGCTCTGAATATGTTGTTCCTTCAGCAATTGGCTTTTTTTCACCCAAGTTAACGATTAATTGGTTACTAAATTAGTCGATGATTATTTCAATAACTAATTAATCCTCCGAACATCATCAGAATAATTAACGTACTTCCCTGAGGTTGGCCTCTTTGCACTCTCAAGATGTTTTTGAGTTTTAAAAACTGCAATTTCTCCACTGAATGAACTCAAACACCTGACCTGCCTCCTCAGGTGTGTGTGACCAGAGCTTTGGGATCCACGTCGCTGAGCTGGCCTGCTTCCCCCCGTCGGTGCTGGCCGCGGCGAGGGAGAAGGCGGAGGAGCTGGAGGAGTTCCAGGAACCTGCGGGGGACGATTCGAAGCGGGACGAAGAGCCCGAGGTCAAGAGACGGCGGACAGATAAGCAGGTAAGGCTCGATTTGCCACAGTTCTTCTGCTGTCATTCTGATGCAAACTGTCTGTGTTGCTCTCTTTTCCTTGTGTGTCGCAAACCGAGCGCTTCAGAGGCAGAGCTGGAACATAAATTAGCAGCTGATAAGAATTACTGAGAAAATGCAATTGTTTTCCAGGAGTTATGTAAAAATATCTCGCTGCAACAGTATTTACTCTTTCTTGAATTGTATTTCCTTTAAAGGGGCATTGTTATGTATTTTCCAGTCACAAAATGCCATTTTATAACACAATCAAGTAACTATGTTACCTTCAGTTAAAGGGCCATACAGATATGAAAAAAATAAAGAGATCACTTGAATGTGTATCAGTTTCTGTGATATGTTGCGATATGTTTGAGTGAAATGAACATTGTAGTATTTATTTGCAGAAAAGGAGAAATGCACAAAATAACAACAAAGACGCAGTGCTTTCAGACCACCAATAATGCAAAGAAAAGAAGTTTATAAAACAACAATACTAACGTTTTACCTCGGTTCAGAAATCAATGTTTGGTGGAATAACCACGAGGTTTTCAATGAGGTTCAGTGCAGAGGTATGTATATATCAAATATGACTTAAAACATTTTCACTTTGTAATTTAACGCTTTGAAATTTGGCCTCTCTTTGAAACTCTGCCTTCAGGAAGTCATCACAACATTAACTCTTTAACATTGTTTTCAGCAGGGTTTCACTAAGAAGTGGCTCGTTTATTGAGCTCAGCGGGTGGGCAATTCCACCAGATGTTTGCTAATTGCTGCTGGCTAGTCTGAAGGAGCAGCAGGGAGGAGTAATATGGGTGGGCTGCTCTGTGAGTCGGAAGCTTGAAAACTCCAACTCTGAGGAGGAACTATGCCTTGAAGGTCCGACCAGGTGTTTTGCACAGCTGAATGGAGATTAAAAGATTTCTCAAACATGCATGAAAACCTCAATAAAATTCATCGATACTAATCTATTCTAAGTTCGATTAGTTCTAATGCTAATCTAGATATCCAAGTTTTTGCCTTTTCCAGGGTCTTTCCTTTTTAGACCTAATAATCTCTGTCCTGTGTCTCCATCAGGTGGGAGAAAACCTGATCCAGGACTTCCTGGAGAAGGTAAAGGCACTTCCTGTCGCCACCATGACTGAGGAGGAGGTGAAGGCAGAGCTCAGGAGAATAAAGCAGGACTTGGTGGCCAAAAATAACATGTACATCAGTGAGATACTTGCCCGCTGCGCTCCAGTAAAAACTGCCTGACTTTTGACATTTTTTTCTGAATCATGTTCATCTCCATGCTTCACCTAAAGCTCATGTAGGAACGACACTAGAGCGCCAATAATCTGTAAGTTTTTCAATAAACGTTTCATGTTTCTTTGAATTTGAAGCTGATTTTTGATTCAAAGAAAGAAAGCCAGAGCTATGTGGGGTTAAGACGTTGCATCGCCCTGACCTGATTGTTGCTGCCTGGGCTCGTTTTCATCTGATCTGCGTTTCCAGGAAGCCAAGCGTCATATACGGCAGATATAGGGCAGATAAAGAATAAGCATGTCTGAAGGCTTGCCACCGTCATCTGGCGGCTGTGAACATTGTTCATGTATAGGGTTTTGGTGTCAATGTTTCCTCTGTTGATCGCATTCAGTAAAACTGCAGCACGGGTTTTATGCGTGTGGAATTGAGATTATCCCTAAAGCGATCTGATTTCATGCGGAGGAGAAACATGGCTGAGTTTCTTCGACATACTCTTGGTGAGAAGATACAAGCAAAGGTTGTGTTTGAGTTGACCTCACTTTGTTTAAGGTTTTTGTGAATGTGTTTAAACCTTAAGGATTATATCTATTATTTTTTTCTCGAAGCCAGTTTGTTATATAATCTGTTTTATTCCTTTCAAAGCAGAAAAAACTGTTGATCCACAACAATGTGGAGTGTTAGGTTGCATTTCTTGGATTTATTAAGGGACATGCATCCACCACTAGGTGGTGCTAGATCTGCTGCGTTTTCTTCTGACAAAAAAAAAAGCCCTTCCGAAATTGTTTTTATTTTAGTTTTTTTCTCAACAGTTTAGATTGTGGAGTTTGAGTTTCTGGGTTTAAAAGTCTCTATTACTAAACCGACCATTACTTTTTACGACATTCCACTCGGTTCTCATCTGCTTTTGGTAAAAGATTGGTGTAAAAGCGCGTTTTCCTTTAAATTAGGCGACAAAGCCAAAGCAACCAGGGTTGATCAGATGCCACAATGCATTTAACAAGCAGCTAAAAATAGATGTATGCAGACTAATCAGTCTCACTGAATGCTCAGATTTGTGGCATGAATTTTGTGTTGCATAATATTTGAGCAAAATTGTGGGATAAGTGAATGTGTGGTTTGATTAACTTTGGTTGTACTTTTCCATCGTGTCTAATAAGGAAGCCGTGTGATTCAGGTGTTGCCCTAAAAACGTCCACAAGTTCGACTCCAATTAACTAAAATGTGTCGGTGAACTATACATAGTTAACTGACAAATATTGCGTTATTACGGTAATTTCACCCCTGCCATAACATGGAATGAAATTAATCTGAGGGACATTTTTAATGGACGGTACATAAAGAAAATGACTTCCCCGCTATTGAAAGTTCCAGTTATTGATAAATGGCCAAATATATTTACTCCGAAGACATTTAAAGAACTACATACAATTAAAATAAGCAAAAAACATTCAGGTGGAGATTTGAAATTTAGGACATAAAATGTTAAAGAAAAAGCAATGATTTTGCTAAATCATCTCTGTTTATTATAACCCACCTAAAACAGGAGAGATTTTGTTTCGTTTAAGTTCAGTTTGGCTGTAGCAAATGTTAAAGGGTTTGGATTTGGATTTGCCTCATTTGGATTTGTACCAATCCAAATGAGGCAGCCACAAACCGAGAGCTTCTCAGAATTGAGTTTTGGGTTTTTATGGTATTTTGTTTTGCCACCCGGAGCATAACCCACTTGGATGTAAATCCCTGCTTTGTGCCGCTCTGGAGCAGGTCTGTGTCAAAGCAAGCATGTTCAGCTGATCCGACATTTCCAAGAAGCTGGTCGTAATTCAAATTCTGCCCGGAATAACGAGGCGTGATGGCGACCCCGCAGGCCCGTCGCTGGTGGTCGCCGCCATCGCTATCTGGTCCCATCGACTCGTTCCCGTCACGCTTTTCCAGCGTCAACCTTGTGTTCTCCATTGTTTCCACTGTTGGTCACGTTTCATAAAATTACAACACGAGTTTCACTGCGTGGAATTGAAGTTACACCCCAAAGACCTGTGACTCGATGCACAGAACAGAGGCGGTTTAGTTCCATCTGTAAAGCACATTAAGAAAGCAAACCACAACGTTTTGACCTTCTTCTCGCATTATGTTTGGTTTCCCATAATTTTCTTTCAGTCATGTTCAATAAAGTTGAAATCACCAAGTGAAACATGTAGATTACAGACTGTTTTGAAACCTTTTTTTTTTTTTACCCGATTTCCTGCTGCCAGCCGATGAAAACATGACTTAAGAATAAAGTATTACTCCAGACCAATAATAAAAGTAATGTGGATTTCAAGAACTGTCTGATACCTCCTTGGCGTTCTCTTCTAAGAAACAAACCTCATCTCCCCCTAATCTGTCAGCGTTAATGAGGAAGGACACTGACTGAATCTACATTGCACTGCCCTAGTGATATTTGAAAGTTGGTAGATTATTTATAGACCAAAAAATATTATGTATTGAAAGACACATAATTTTGGGAAATATTGGCATAGTCAGATACTTAAGACATAACAACTTTTTTGGCTTTTTTTATTTACCCAAAGCAACACTGCGGGGGGCTGCGGGCTGAAGAATGTAACATCTGGGTTCAGCAGTACAATGCAAAAATACAAAGTTAAAAAAAAGTAATGCAAGTAATGTGAACTAGAAATAAAATAAAGTTAGAAGTAACAAGATGAAAGAGCTTGTTTTCAAGTAAATTCCTCAATATTGACAAAAATGTTCTGGTTCTTTCAGATTGTTTTTCTTATGATGAGAAAAAAGTATCTTATAAGTGAAATAATTTGTCAGTGAAATTATACTTAAAAATCAGAATTAAACAGTTATTGACCTAAAACAAGCTCCTATATTTTTCTGAAAAGTTAATTTTTTCTCATTTATTCAGATATTTTCACTACAAACGAGACCACTCTATATGCTGTTTTTCTTTTAGAGCTAAAAAACACTAACTCAGAGATGCCTATTTAGCTCTACTGGACATTTTAATCAGAGCAAGTGAATGAAGAACCAGACATGTTTGATCTAATAAAGTTTTATTTTCTTAGAAATGGCAAGTTTTCAGTTTTCTTTTGTCTTTCTAAGAAAGTATACCCCTTTTTGAATTTCAACTAGCATCTACTAATGGTTATTGAATACTTCACAATATATTAAGTCTAGATGTTATGGTACATGCATACGATTCAGGCTGCATGAGGAGCCAAAGTCACCACGATACACTGGGAGGAGGGCAGAAACAGGTGGGGACGGGGGGATACAGGGCACTGCAGACTGACCAGGTACCAGTTAAAAAGGAGGCTGTAGCGCCCCCTATTGAAACCCTCTCCACAAAACACTGACTGCATCAACATATAAACATACACACACACAAAGTTTGCACTGTACACGACATACATTTACACACACCTCTTTATACAAGTGTGGAGCTCCTCCACCGGCCATTTAAACTAACTCACTGGAGAGGGTTTAGTGTTAACAAGCTTCTCTTTCACAGAAAGAAATTCACCACTGGAACCTTTCAGCTTCTGCAGTCCGACGTGGCGGGAAGTGGGGACAGGAAGGGACGCTAACCGAAGGAAAAAAATAATTATAATAATATATAATAAAATAAAAGACATTCAAATACAGTCAGCTTTTTGCTTGAAAATACAAAACTACATGAGAAAGCATTGAAATAAAATCCATTCATCAGAACATATATATATATTTGTTTTAAAAAAAAAAAAAGCCCAAGTGCTCCATCTCTCTCTCTCTCTCACACACACACATACATACATACACACACGCACAATCAATCTTTTCCTTTTTTTTAATCCAATAGGGATGGCAGCTGCAAGGAAGCAGGAAGTCTTTTTAACCGCAGTTCGTAAGAGGATTAGCTGTGTGGAGATCTTCATGCTTTAAGTGCCACCAGGTGGACCTCGAAAGCCCCTCAGAACAACTCGCCCTTCCCAGTCTTCTTTGTTTAGTCTGCAGCGAGGAATCGCTTCAAGAAGCTCCACGGCTCCCTCTAGTGACCCGCTGCAGCGAGTGCGGCTGACGCCAGATGAAGCTGCTTCCTCTGCAGCCTCTTCCACTGAGAGCGCTGAGCTCAGAGTCTCTCTGGGTCCTTGTAGCTGCAGGCGGATGCACGTTTAGAACTGGGTGTAGGTGAGTGTGTGTGTGTGTGTGTAGCTGTGTGTAATGCAATGTGTTTGTTTGCTTATCTGAGGGCGTGAACTCGAGCCGCCGCCTTCAGTTATGTTGTAGCGTGTTGGACTCGATGGGCGGCGCCGAGTCGTACAGAGTGTCCGTGTCATGTGTGGGCTCTCCGGCCAGCGTACACGGGTTGGACAACGTTCCCGCGCCGCAGTCACAGAAAAACCTGGAGGAGAGCGGGAATCAATAAAATTAACATCTATAGGTGACATACTGCGTTCCATAAAACTCGAGGAAAACCATGAAACTTGTAGTTTCATCACGTTTTTAATAAAAGTTTTAAATTGCGTTGTCTGTCCTTTAAAGAAAAGTCAAATGCAAGATTTTCTCAAAGTATGGAGGTATTTTTATAAAGAGCTTCAGACACAAAATGAAACAAACAGAAATTTAACTGACAAAATTCAAACGTAAAGAAGGAAAGATGCTCACCGATCGTGTCGTATAAACTCTACGTCGTGTCCTTGGTGACACTTTTTGATGCAGTTAACACAGATGGCATTCCTATCTGTTGTATTACAGGTGTGACACCTAGAAAACAAATAAATCATTGAAATTAAAACTTAAAAGTGCAATAAAAACTATAAATCAGATCTTTTTCAGGTTTTTTCTTTACCTATAGAAGTCGTGCATGGGGTAACTGGTGTAGCTGGAGATCTTGTAGAGACATTGTCCTCTGCTCACCGCCTTCTCAATGGCGTCCTGATTATTCTGAATTTTATTGTCTGACGGGGAACATTTCATAGTTAGCAAGCAGATATAAACTGCAAAAACATAAAACAAAGTATTTATGGTTGAGTTTCTTTGTACCCTTGAAATGAGACAAAATCTACAACTTTTAGCAAAATATAGGAGCTTGTTTAAGTCAATAAATCCTTAATATTGATAAAAAATTACGACAGCCATTGGAACTGGTCTATTTTCATCAATATTAAGCAGATATTTACTTGAACAAGCTCCTATTTCAGCTGAAAAGCTACAAAGATATTTCCACTAGAAAATCTTAAAATATTTGATTTGTGTTTTTGCAGTGTAGCACAACTGCAACATGAATATGAAACAACCTCTTACCTTTCATGGTGACATTGACTCCTGAGGCCAGAAAAAGCCCTCCGAAGCGGTTGTTGAAAATCTGGTTGCCCTCCAACGTTGCCGTTGCGTGGTTAGTAATTTCAATACCTGGTTCAGTGAACGACAAGTCAACTGTAAGGAGACCAAACGACTCATTTTTGACCTAGAAGAGTCTGTGAAGCCGACCTGCAGCAAAGCCGTCAAAAATGCGGTTCTTGCGGAGCGTGGGATGGCTGTTGGTGCTGATGAGCACGCCGGCCTGCGCGTTCCTGAAGATGTCGTTCTCTTCCAGCAAACCTGCAGGGAAGATGTTTCTTCATACGCTTCAACGGAACATGTTGGGAACGTCTGCGTTCAACAAATTACATCTTGATTGAATCGGAAGGCAACCTGCGTTAAATCTAGGGCTGCAAGTTATCGGTTGAGAAGTTCATTTAAAGTTGATTCATCTTATTGAGCATTTTGTTCTTTTGCAGCAAGAGGGCCGACTGTCGATAACATAATGGGCCAAAGTTTTCAGAATACGCTGGATAAAAAAAAAACATTTTGTCACCTGTGTTAAATACTGACTGAATAAAAAGAAAATTGTGACATATTTATAAAACATAAAACAGGGGCCTCTTAGGTCACCGAATATAAGACAGAAGATGAAAAAAATTTAAATATATGAAACTCTTAATTCAGAGACGCGTTTGCTCTTGAAGAAATAATAAAACGTCGCTCCATGAAGTTCATTAACTCACAACAGTCATCAAAATCAACTATGCTTATTGGCAAGATGCTTTTTTCCATTGTGTTACAATTTTTCTCCCTTAGTAAGTCTGTATTTTTTTAATGGAGAAGTTGGTGCTGCTTGGGCTGAACGAGCCCAAGCAGCACCGTTAAGGAGCTTGTTGAGTATTTACATTTAAAAACAGAACCGCATAAAGCCCGTTTTGAAACCCACATAGTCTCTGTTGGAACCGATTCTCTGTTCTAGTATGACCCCGCCATGTTTGTTTCTGTATCAACTCGCTTACAGCTGCTAGTGGCGCCCTCTGCTGGATGGTGGCTAAACTACAACATTTAAAGAAGGTCTGAGCTGACGTTATTAGTTTATGGGACTAATTTAATTCTAATAAATCAGTAATTTAATCAACATTTATGAAGATTTGTGAGTACACTCGACCTTGTGACAACTGAGTTTCAGTACCTCGGCCTCCGTTGAAGATGCAGATGCCTCCATCTCTGCCGTCATGGATCTTGTTCCTCCGCAATGTGGGGTTGCTGTCTGTCTTGATCCACACTCCCGCCATGGCGTTGTCAAAGATTTCATTGTCCTCGATGAAGCCCAACCCTGCGACATAACAGCGGCGATAGATGAAGCTTTGACTCCACGTTAGACGTCCCTCTGGTGCCGTGAGAGACATAAATACGAACCCGAGTTGTAGACCAAAATTCCTCCGTTCTGCCCGCCCCAGATCTTATTGCGCCGTATCTTTGGGTTGCTTCCCGTCCTGCAGATTAAAACAGACTCAATTATTTTCTGCTGATTTCAAACGAAGACAAGTTTCAATACATGAATAAAATAATCTAGTTTTATCAACTTCAAAGTATGGATACTTTATGATTAATGTCTTTCAGAGACCCAGACTCGCCTCAAAAGTTCCTTGATAACAGGTCTGAGTAATAAGATTTAAATATAAAATCTCTGACTTTTTTCAAACCAGATCTGATTTTAATCATTTTTTAAAATGATTTTCTTTTCTAAAAAAGAATTTACAAATTACATCAAATATTTTTAAAAAGTGGCTTTTATTCCAACCATCCCTTTTTTTAATGAGTTAGATGATGGAGTTTTAGGACCAGAATACCAGATTGTTTGTCTAATTACAACAATATAGTCACAATTAACATCATTTACCAGAAGAATGTCCTGAAATTACAAGAGAAAAAAAGTTTTAATGAGAAAAAAATGTTTTAGTTCCCATAAAAATAATACTA